CACTGGCACGATCACAGCCATCACTCACTCGGCAATCTTCTTCTGGATGGCAGGGAGCTCAAGCGGCTTGTTCTCATTTTCACGAGAAGCCTCCTGGAAAAAGGCAATACGGGTGATCAAAGGCTGGTCCCTTTTGCGCCTGGCCTCGGACATCTTCTCAAGACGATCATCGCGGACCTGGGCCTTGTGAAGACGGCGAGAATCGCGACTCTTGGCATGGAGGGCTTCAATGTTACCGCCCCTCTTCTTGGCGATGGCCTTGCGTGCTTTTTCGAGAGTCTTGGGCATGGTGAAGAATTTAGGTGGTTGATTGTTGAGAGATTGTGGTGATGGTTATTTTGATGGTAATGATGAAGGAAGGTACGTATATCAGCAGGTGAACTGCACGGACGGGACTTGTCCTCTGGCGGTTGGGATGGAATTTTTCGATAAGCGGCCAGCACTGGGGACGGTGGGGCACTGAACCTACCGATTAGACGCTGTCAACCGTTTAAGTGGTTGCAGCTTGGGTGGGGTTCAATTGGAGAATTGAATGTCTTGGCAGAGAGCTTCGGGTTCGAGCTGTTGGTGCAGCTAAGGGAGCTGCTATCACCAAGCGGACCCATCACCAAGTACCTAACCGTAGGTAACCTATATCTACCACATAACCTGCTTCAATCATGCGGTTTCCGCAAGTCAAGGATCTTGATGTAAGTTTTGATCCTGGAATGCAGACTCATAGAAGCATAAAGTTAGCTAAACTCGAGCCATTGACATTCACAGGAAGCCAGACTGGTGGGAAACCACAATGGGATGAAATCATGGTTCGTAGAGTCAAAGTAGGTAGCAAGGTATTGTTTTGTACACAAACACAGCCAGTACTTGGATGCCCCTGAACGCCCCGCATGGATGAGATGGATCAGCGATTGACAGGCATATTGCCTGGCGATTTGGTCGCGGGGGTAACGACGCGGTACGCGCTTTCTCATTCTAGAAATGGAAAGCCTGCCCACCCCAGGCATTTTTACGTCGTTTTACGGGGCGGGAAGGCGTGGATCGGCTCCATTTTGCCATTTTTTGCACTTGTAAATTGAACCTTTTTGGGTTCAGGTCAGTCTCCAGCTGGTGGACTGCGTTGCGGCAGTGACTGCCATTCCACCCACCAAATTTGCCTGCCAATTTTTGCCCTTCACCGGCCCTATCGCCTGTCGAGATGGGACGGCAGCAGCCCTTGTCAGTTGTCAGGTTGTCCCCGCCCAGATTTGCTTCACACTTGCAACTTCACCTTGCCTTTTCCGTGCGCAGCAACCACTGACCTCACACCTTTCCTCCCTCGCTTCAAATTCGAGGTCGTTGCAATTACGTCCTCCAAACTCCCCTCCAGCACTCCAGTGGTCTGGTCAGGATTGCAGGACTGACAGCCATTCAGCAATATCGGGACTACCGCCATCGTTCGCTCAAGTACTCTTGTCTATCACTCATCAAAACAAAACAAAAACATCGACAAAACAGTGGGTTGGCACATCGTTTGCGACTCGCATTAACGCATAGCATACTACCACAGTACGGATTTATACACGCGTCCTCGACTGCAGGAACTACGCCAATTCTTAGATACTCGGCCTTCCCCATCATCACCAAACCACCCGGCACTCGATAACTCACCGCAATTGCCGCTACTGGACCGGGAGGAGTGCTCTATGGCCTCGTCAGTCGCGTGAGCCTTCGTTCAACTTGTCGGTTGCTGCAACCTGCCGCTCTTGTCGACGAGTCCGTGACGCGTTTCCGTCACCGCAGCAAAGATGGGTATCAATGGGCTTCTTCCCCTGCTGAAATCCATCCACCGCCCTACCGAACTCAGGAAGTACGCGGGTGAAACTCTGGGCATTGACGGTTACGGATGGCTTCATCGAGGTGCCATCGCTTGCGCCATTGACTTAGCTCAAGGCAAGCCAACCCGCAAGTAGGTTCCAATCGAGGCTGTCATACACTGTCTGGACCCAATACTGATTTGCAACACCTAAAAAGATATGTCGACTATGCGATGCACCGCGTCAAGATGTTCAAGCACTTTGGCGTGACTCCATATGTTGTCTTTGATGGCGACTATCTGCCCAGCAAGGCCAAGACGGAGCTGGATCGCGACAACAGACGAGAAGCAAGCAGGAGGACGGGCCTAGAACTCCTCAAGGCCGGCAAACCATCACAAGCCCACATTGAACTCCAAAAGGCCATCGACATCACACCAGAAATGGCCCGCCATCTGATCGACGAGTTGAAGAAGGCCGATGTTCCATATGTCGTCGCGCCGTACGAAGCAGATGCACAGCTTATCTACCTTGAACGCCAGGGCATCATCAGTGGTGTTGTCTCGGAGGATTCCGACTTGTTGGTTTTTGGAGCTAAGCGCCTCTTGACCAAGATGGATCAGTACGGACAATGTATCGAGATCAACCGCAGCCAGTTTTGTGCTGTCCGAGAGATCTCGTTGACGGGATGGACGGATGCCGAGTTCCGCCATATGGCCATTTTCAGCGGCTGCGACTATCTCGACAGCCTTCCCAGCATGGGTCTCAAGACGGCATATCGTATGATTCGAAAGCTCAAGACACCTGAACGTATCGTCAAGAAACTCCAGTTTGACGGCAAAATCCGAGTCCCCGACGACTATCTCGAACGGTTCAAGCAGGCCGAACTGACTTTCATCTACCAACGCGTGTTTTGTCCAGTCAAGCAAGCGGTGGTGTGTTTGACAGAACCCGACGAGTCCATCAACGTCGACGATATGCCGTACATCGGCGCACCCATCGATGCCAAGCTAGCTCGCGCCATCGCTGCTGGTGATGTTAACCCTATCACCAAGGACCGGATCACTGTCACAGCAGCCTCCCCCAGCAAGAGAAGGATCAGTCAAGTCTTCAGTTCTGCTTACGGCGAAGGCAAGAAAATGGGAAAGCCTATCGACCAGTATTTCAAGGACCGCCGGATTCCCCTCGGAGAGATGGACCCCAACTGTTTCCACGTCGAGCCTGACAATGGTGAACAACAGGCCACCACCGAACCTCGCCCTATCGTGTTTCCTTTGCCGAGGCCGTATGTGGACGAGGTGGGAACATCGGCAACTCCTTCTCGCCGCTACGTAGCTCAAAACAGCCGGCGCAAGAGCGAACCTATCTCAAAACTTCTGGCTTCATTTGATGACACCGCCAGCGTGACATCCCGACGACAGACAACCGGAGCAGGATTCGAAATCTTCACGGACACCGACCCTGCGATCTCCACAAGACCGCCAAAGAAAGCGCGACTGTGTGAAGACGCACTCTCGGAAGATGCCGTCACTGCTACCCCCGAGAAAAGTAAGTTCTTCCCTCAAAGCAAGGCGAAGAAGACGGCAGCTAGGAAGTCTGAGTCTTTTATCATGTCGGATGATTCAGTCGAGGAAGCTTTCCGGAGCGTCCCGGATGCTGTGTGGAGTTCGTCAAAGGCTCGTCGTCGGAGCGGAAAGGTTCAGTTTGTTGAAGAGTCACCATCCTCTGAGCCGGTATCTCAGGAGAAGGAGCACGAAGAGGTGGAGGAGCCAACTCTCCCTGTGATGCCAGTTGCCACTCTTGATGCCACCAGCGATACGAAAGACGAAGTGGAAGTCCCTGGCTCATCACCGCAAGAAGACGTCATCAAGAAGACTGTGAAGACCCAGACCCCGCTGGGCCCGCGGCTCCGACAGTTCTCGTATCAACCAGGTAAAGCCGGTGCTCGCATTGTCAACGGTCTACCCACCCCTTCCTCAACCAAGAGAGACCCGCTGCGGTGCGTAGATCATCGTTGAACCCGAGCAGTCCCATGTTGACTCCCTTGCAACGCATGGGAGCCCGGGCTCTGAAACAAGTCACGCCCCGCGCCACGCCTCCTAGCAGCATTCGCGCACGTAAAGCATCCAAGCCAAGAGAGTCTCTCGGCTCCCTCTCGGTGGATCCCGCCGCCATCCCATTGCCTCTCGTCGACCTTGCTGAAGTTAGGGCCCTGAACATGCCGCTTCAGGGCAGCGAGGATCAGATCATCCCGGAGAGTGATGGAGAAACCGAGTTGAGCACAACAGCCACTCGTCCGCGACTCAACTTGTCGCAGTTCTTGTATTCGTAAGGTTCCAGTCGGGCTTTCGGGTGTATATAAGAGAAGCCAGATATGTGTGCATAGCGCTCGGCGTACCGGTAAGGAGAAACCCGCCTGGAATATGGATCGGTTCGGACGGCACTATGGTTTTTGCTGTAGGGAACAAAGGAAACATAATGGACTAGGATGTTTTATGAAACCAAAAAAGGATCATGAGAAGAGCAGGCTAAAGTATATCAGGAAGAACTTCTACCGATTGTTATACAGTATCATTGATGGGCCATTTTGTTGATGGCCCTGGTCAGGAGGGTAGTTAGCTCACTTAAGTAGGCTCGGTAGGAACCGAACAAATTATGGTAACAATGATCAACGGATGCTATCACGACAGTAAAGACTTTTGTTATGAGACATACCATCGTCAGATTCAAAGATAGATTCTGCTGATGCCTTGTGTAGGTATACGGTTTTGACTATACAGGCAGAGCATCCATGGTCGGGCAGTGGGTGCTGGGAATTATGGCCGCGATAAGATCGCCAAGATGCACAATTTCACCGCCTTTGGCAGAATTGCAGAACCGCAAGGGTGAAAGTGTGGGGCAGGGGACTGGGGGGCTCCACACTGATGGGAACAATCCACTAAAATTCCACCGCAATCCACTGGCGACAAAAATTCATCGACAAGCAGTCGCTCGACCACAGACGACCCGCCCTCCACTATCTCAATTTTTCCACCTGGGTTTCGTTTCGATACCTCGACATACCTCGACCATTATTCCGCCCGCCTGTCATCACCACCCATCGCAGCGAAATTCCAAATCCGCATCACGATCTTGAATTGCTTGAGTCTCTACATTTAGCGACTCGCAACCGATAAGGTCGACTCGTACAAGCGAAAACAAGCGTGTGCAAAGATGGCGGATACCGATTTGCAGGTAAGCAGACCGGAGCTGGAATGAACACAACCGATACGGTGATACCCATGCCAATGTCCCTCAAGCCTGCATTGGTAGTTGTGGCCAAGCTCGGATGGCGATAGTGTTCCGAAACGCTGACCATGCCGTCTTGCGACCACGAACAGGAGCGCCTGCGTTCTCACGCCCAGGCCTTTGACGGTCTACTGTCGCTGATCCCAGCCAAGATGTACTACGGCGAAGACAACAGTGTACGTTATACCCCAATACCTCACTATCCTTCAAAGACCCAACCGTTAGTGTTGGTTGTCAATGCCCTTCGACCATATCGCTGATCCAAAGTACCCCGCCCACAGGATCAGTGGAAGAAGAAGAAGCAAACCAAGGAGCAGGCGAAGGCTGCTAAGAGGGGGAAGCTCGATCCCGACAGCGAACTCAACCGCAACGCCAAGGAGGTCATGGAGGAGCGCGCCCGCAACAAGCGCAAGCTCCAGGAGATGGAGGAGAGCAGCACTGAAGACAGCGACATCGACCTTGAAATCCCCTGTGTCGAGAAGGAGAAGCCCCTGGAAGGATTGAAGAAGAAGGTTGTCAAGGAGGATGCCGAGACCGAAGAGTCTGCGCCCAAAAAGCAGAAGCTCTCCGATGAGGACGACGAGACTGCCCCCGCCGCTGAAGAGGTTGCCGACGAGACCCCCGCCGAGAAGCCGTTGAGCAAGAAGGCGCAGGAAAAGGAGGCCAAGCGACTCGCCAAACTGGCCAAGCAGGAGAAGAAGAAGGCCAAACTCGAGGCGAAACTGGGCAAGACGGAGAAGAAAGACGACACCGCCGAAGAAGTCAAGCCTTCCACCGAAGCTAACGAGGACGACGAGAACGACGATATGGCTCCCATTGATGTGTCTGGTCTTGTAACAAAGGAGGACGAGCCCGAGTCCCAGGAATCCGCGCAATCCTCTGTTTTCGACAGCCGCGATAAGACCGGTTCCGCCGAGCCCGCCAGCGCCAACACCTCGATCTCTTCCGCCGTTCCCCCAGCCGATAAGCCCAAGTTCAAGCTTCCCGCCGACACCACCGTTCTCCGCGAACGTCTCGCCCTCAAGATTGAGCAACTCCGTGCCGCTCGTAAGGTTGAGAAGGACGACGAGGGTAAACCGATCCGCACCAGGCAAGAACTTATCGAGATGCGTCGCGAGAAGGAGGCCAAGCGCAAGGCCCACAAGCGCGAGCAGAGGCAGAAGCAGAGGGAGGAGGAGGATCGTAAGAGGTCAGAGGCTATTGCCAGCTCGCGCAACTCTCCTCTGAGCATGCTCAGCCCCAAGGACGACGTTGAGACCAACTTTGCTTTCAGCCGTCTCGGCTTCTCGGATGGTGTGCAGCTTTCTCGCGACGCCGCCTTCGTCAAGTCCGACGGAGCCAAGAAGAAGGGCCCTCTGGACGCCAAGTCCAAGCTTGCCAAGCTTGAGGCTCAGAAGAAGCGCCTCGAGACCCTGCCTGAAGATAAGCGCAAGGAAATTCTGGAGAAGGAAACGTGGCTCGCTGCCCGCAAGCGTGCCGAGGGCGAAAAGGTTCATGACGACGAGCACCTCCTCAAGAAGGCTGTTAAGCGCAAGGACAAGGCGAAGATGAAGAGCGCCAACGAGTGGAGAGAGCGCAAGGAGGGCGTCGCCAAGGCCCAGTATGACAGGTCGAAGAAGCGCGAGGATAACATCCAGAAGAAGCAGGATGAGAGGAAGGCTCGCAAGATGGGCATCAAGGTCAAGAGCGGCAAGGGCGCGCCCAAGGGTGGCAAGAGCGGAGGCAAGGGTGCTTCTAAGGGCAAGAGCAGACCCGGGTTCGAAGGCGGGTTTGGTGGTAAGAAGAAATAAGCGTCGGATAAGGTGTTCAGCAAGGGGTGATTTGTCTTTTTGGAGAGAGAGATGTTGATACCACTGCTGCTGCATAGCGGCAGATTGCTTGGGAGGCTGGCATACCCCTATCCTTTTTCCCATTTCTTCTTGCCATTGTCGCTACGCACATATTTTTTCTTGGGAGGGGGCTAATTGGTGGTGTTTTTGGCGTTTGTTATCCTTCATGATTCTTTTTATTTTTGCACGGTCGGAAAGGAAAAAGAGATCACATCACGCACGTACATATCACAACTGGGCCAGATCACAACGAGCGGTTAACATCATGGCACCAGGCTGGGCAAGCCTTGTCTTTTGTTCTTTTCATACTTAGCTAGCTTTTAGTAGTGGTGGCGAAAGGGAGGAGGCAGGGACAGGAATGTCCCCCTTCTTCTTCTTCAGCGAGGCAGCATCTTCAGGGAGTCAAAAAGTGATTATCAGCTCATAAAGATCTTTATCTCTCGGTTGTTCGGTGACTTCAATTGGTGATTCCATTGCACAGTTCGTCTTGCTGCTCGACATAACCACGATCCATCAAGGAACAGGAGCATCTGATGCCGAGGTGATCTCTGACTTGGCACAGAGGACTAACAAATGCGAGTGTACCCCAAGCTTTCAGGCAACCGTGAATTGAGGTGCTGTTAGTGCCGGGTGGTTGGTTCCTATTGCAGTCCTAGCTAGAGCACTAACACGGCATCTGGAAGCCGACTATGTACTAACAGCAACCGACCTCATCGCCACCGGAATTCCTCGTGTCTCGTCGCACAAGCTTAGAAGAGGCTAATTACTTCCTTGCTAGCTTTGGACAAGGCAACAGCTATCCTACAACGTGTTTTTTGAGAATATCCAGTAAATACATTGTTCGACTAAAGTAATCGCCAACTGCATCGAGTTAAGGTTTAATAGAGCCCCTTTGCGCCGCAGGTGAACTGGACCCTGAGATTGGCTCTTGCCCCCATCAGACTCCGCCGTGCGGACCGGGATCCTTACCTTTGGACTTTCTTTGACCGCTGCACAAACAGAGTTCCTCGCTGCGCGCTGCCCGTGCCAACCAAAAGAGGGACCCATCAAGCATCAACCCGTTCCCGAGTGGTCCTCCTAGAGGTAGAGCCAAGAGAACACCAACTTACTAGCGAACGACAAAACACTTCGCATCATCAAGAGCCGCGCCGAAGAGCGGTTTCTCCCCCAAGAAGACAGCGAGACGACGACACACGAACGAAGGACCTCCACGTCCGGGACGACCGACCGATCGACTACTAGTTCTCTCTACTAGTCGCCTTTTTCCCTCTGAAACAACAGGCTACACCCAGGGCCTACCGAATCCGTACCCATCCCAATCCCCAATCCCAACATCCCCACGTGTTACCGCGAAACCGAAATTATTTCAATTCCCCCTGTCAGCGACAACACGGGGAAATAATACCAAGCACGAATACACGCCCACCCTCGGCCGACGACATATTCGCTTCGCGCCGCCCTATCATCATCAGAAACATCCCGACCACCTGACACAATACCATGGCATCAACATCAGGCTTGACCCGGCGCAGGGGCGCGGGAGGAGGTGGAGGCAGCGGCGACGCCGCCGGCGGCGGCGGCAGCAGCACTCCCGACGCGAGGGAGGTTGGGCCCGACACGAGCTACGAGACGGGCGAGAACGGACACAGGATCGCCTTCGACCCCCGCGACCTGAGCGAGAGCGCAGAGAGGAGCAAGCAGCCTAAGCTAACGCTGATGGAGGAGGTGTTGTTGCTTGGTATCAAGGATCGCGAGGTTTGTCCACCCACACGTCTTTATATCTCTCTCGGTCTTGTTACACCATCCCTTTCTAAAAGGGCTGTCTGTCTTTTGACTTGCGCTTGAGTCGACATTTGTAATGCGCCATGTCCATTGCTCCTTGACGTTTTCGCGATTTGGGAATTCGGGCATGACGAAGCGAGAGACAACACGGCTAACCAGACATTACTACCCATCAGGGCTACCTTTCATTCTGGAATGACAACATTTCCTACGCTCTGCGCGGATGCATCGTTCTCGAGCTGGCCTTCCGCGGCCGCATCAGCATGCAAAAGGACTCGTCCAGGCGGCGCTTCCCCCTGGCGGACCGAATTATCGAAGTCATTGACGACACTCTTACGGGCGAGGTACTTCTGGACGAGGCCCTCAAGATGATGAAGACGAGCGAGAAGATGAGCGTCAGCTCTTGGATTGACTTGATGAGCGGTACGTTTATCTTTTGCGTTACTTGACCCCGTCTCACCTGTCGTCCACATGCTGCTACACACATACCCACCAAAGGCAAACAAACAGCTAACATGACATGATGTTACACAGGCGAAACCTGGAACCTAATGAAAATCGGCTACCAACTCAAACAAGTCCGCGAACGTCTGGCCAAGGGTCTAGTCGACAAGGGCATCCTGCGCACGGAAAAGCGCAACTTCCTGCTGTTTGACATGGCTACGCACCCCGTGGTCGAGGGCGCCGCCAAGGAGGACATCCGACGGCGCGTGCGCAACGTGCTCACCCAGCGCACCGTCGTCATCACCCCGACCCAGTACCTGCCCGAGGAGCTCGAGTTCCGGTATGTGCGGACGATCGCCATGGTGTGCGCGGCGCACGCGGCCAACGTGCTCGAAAACGCGCTCAGCACCCTCGGCCATGAGGCCCGTGAAAATGCCTTCAGCATGGCGGACGAGTTGCTCCTGCAATATAGCCAGTGGCCGTTTGCGGCGAGGCCGTTGCCTGGTGGGAATGGAGGGGTGGGGGCCAATTTGCCGCAGGTTATCAACGAGGTGAGATCCTTTTTTTTTTCTGACCCCTTTTGGTTTCTTGAGGATTCTTTGGAAGAGAGGGGTGGGAAGTAGCATTTGCTAACCATGTTTTATTTGTGACAAATACAGGAGGTCAACAAAGCAAAGGACAAGGAGCTCCAGCTCGAAGTCGTGGCGGCTTGCTTGAGTGTATTCACCCGTCTTGACTCTCTGCTCTAGATGATGGCGCCGACGGAGCATCGTGAGGAGAAAACAAACAACAACAACCCAGCGCTAGTAGTAACGGACAAGAACAGGCGTGGGGGCAAGACAACCTGAAAAGCGAGAATGAGTGACTGAATGAAAGCTGGAAGCATAAGGATGAAAGGTCGTCGGTTATGTGTGTGCGAGCGAGCGAAGCAAAGCAAGCGTCAATTAACCCGCCAGTCAAAGGTCGGCAATAATCTCGGTCCGTGTCGGTCGACATTCAAGACTCCCTCCTCCGTCCGGAGGGGGAACTCAGCGCATCATCTTCTCTCGTTCACACGCCAGCGCCTTGTCTACCATCCACTACCAGTACCAGTACCAGCAAGCAGGCACTGCGCAGGGGGCCTAACTATTTTACTTAACCTAATATCTTTAACCCCCGTCTCCTTCCTTGTATGGTATGGTAGGGTAGGCATGATGGAAATTTTTATTAATTTGCTTACTTTGCTTGCAAGGGGTGGATGGGGAGGGGGAGGGGGAGGGGGAGGAGGAGGAGGGCTGGACCGTTCATTGTTGGATGGTGCGGTGCTTGATTGAATGGGATGAAGGTGGTGATTGATGGATGACTGGTGGTGGTGAAAAAGAAATTTCTTGAGAATGAAAGCAAAGGAGAGAAGGAGAAAGCGTAGTGGTTTTTTGACACATTGATTGATTGATTGATTGATTGATTGATTGATTGATGTTGCAACGTTTTTATTTTTGTACGTCTAGCAATTTTACTATTATGGAAAGTAATGGAATATGAACAGGGTCATTACGGTTTAGAGAAAGACGATAGGGCGATGACGGCAACCTCCTCATGGCAGTACAGCTACAGCCAGATATTCTCGTGATTTCAGATAAAACGTGTTTGCACAAGCTCTCTCTCTCTTGCTCGCGTACGTAACCACTCAACTAATTACGACGCTCTACATAGGTGTGTACACATGTGTGTACCGTTCTGTTATAGGCAAACCTGTATATCTCATCTAGTCCGTCCTCAAAGATAGGTAGTTTAACAGCTCCCCCAATCGGGGACTAGCCTTGAACCCAAAAAGAGCGCCTCTGTTGTTCCAGTTTAAAAGATAGATAGTGACTCCAAAAAAAGACCGTTTCATCCATACATCCATCCCTCCCTCGAAAAACAAAGCGAGACCGATGAAAAGTGAAGAAATCTAAGGAACAGAGCTTCCAATGCATCGACGACGTCGCCCCCTTCTATACCAAAGCACACATATAACCAATCATACAACCCTTCTCTCCCTCCTTCAAAGCATACACACATCCCATTCCAATCCTAGACCATGCTAGACTCTAGCGCGCTCTCTCTTTCTCCATCTCTCTCTTCCTCAGCCGGTCTTGATAAACGACCTCCATCCAACACTTACTCCGCAACCTTGGCCACATCCGCGACCTTGGCAGCCTCCTTAACTTGATCCTCGTCAAGAATCCCATCCATACTCCAATCCCCTACCTGCGCCCTCTTGAGCACCTCCCGTCCCTTCTCCGTCAGTGCCGGTTTACCGGCCTTATCGGTCGCCGTCACGAAGAAGACCGGCTGCCAGCTTTCCCCCTTCCGCTCTCTTTCGCGGGCCTTTTCTCTCTGAGCCTCCTCGAGCTCCTGCTTGAGCGTGGTGGCGCGAGAAAATTGCCTGGCGTGAATCGCTTCCGTCACTTTGCCCCAGAGGGTGAGAGACTCGTTGGGCAGTTGCTGCTCGGTGGGAGGGAGGACCTTGGGGGCCACGTTGAGGGGGGCGATGTCGATTATGGTTACTTGTTGATCGGCGGGGTGGGAGTCCTGTGGGTTGCGCAAGGGGGTGTTAGTATATATGTATGGTGGGATGGGGGGGAGGTGAGGATACGTTAGAGGTAAGTGATGATAACAACTTACCAAAGGCTTGGGGCCAACTGTGAAAACCACCTTCTCCTTCCAAGGACCACCGAGACGCACCAGGATATCCACCACCGGTACATCCTTGATCTGCATCTTGTCGTCGTTTTCAGGATCGTACTTGAAAATGATGCCCTCGACCTTGTTCGTGGTCCGGCCCAGCCATCCATCGTCGTAGTAGCGGAGAATGGCCTTGAGCTTCGTCTCCGGGCAGGTGACGTAGGCCATATCGCCGACCGTCACGCTTAGCGCACCACGGAGAATACCGCCAAGGTGAGCGGGAGGGTGTGTCAGCTGGTATGTCTCGTGGTTTCTCCTCTCAAGCGTGATGAAAATTCCGAGGTTGTGCTCGCCAGGCATCACCTTGACCGAGGTGCCGGTGAACTTGGCTGTGATCTGGTCGAATCCCTTGGCGTGAATGCCCTTCTCTGGGCAGTCGACGTAGAATGCGCTGACGGGAGGGTGGTGAGACGTTTGCTCAGTCAGGTACGAGATCCGGACGGGCTTCGAGGGTTTTGGGTTCGTGGCGGGAACGGATACTGTCGAGGCGGCGCGGGAGCTGCCGGATTTGACGCTCGATGGCCGGCTGATGGCGTCCTCTAGAGCCTTGGTGTTGATCCTTGGGGCATCATCTTCGGTTTCCCAGTTACACTACGGACGCTCTCCAGTCAGCCGAGCTATCCCTCAATTTGCCACCCTCCAATGGCTGGAAAACCTACCCTGAAGAACTCCCCCAAACAAGAGTTATATGGCTTGCAAGGCTTCCCCTTTGCATATTTCAAATCCTTAGTGAACCAGAACCGCAGCACCTCCAGCATGCGGTCGACCGGCTCGTCCGCGGTGCCAATGGCAACAAAGGCGTTCGGCGCATCGAGATAGTTCCAGTATTCGAGGTTGGGTGTCGGCTCGAGGAGCTGCGATGGAAGAGAGAAGCGTACGGAAGCGAGATCTGCGACACCAATGAACCTAGGTCGGGGAACATACGAGGTCAGTTAACTGTATCGTCGTACGTGTGTCTTATACCGAAGGCCGCCAAGACACTGCTTTGGGCAATGACACCAGGATTGCCGATGCTCGGCTTGCGCATCCGCAATCTTTTCACATGACGGCAAGCAGCGCTTTGCGACTCTTGGAGGTCCGAAGCTTTCCCCATGCGCGTGTCTGGTGATTACTCACTTTCTCATGATACCGAGAAAGGTCGATAGCTTGTTTCCATCGCTCGGATGCTCCTCCACTACGGGAGCACTGCCATCAGCGGGTGCGGCAGCGGGAGCTGGCGACCTGCCCGTGAATGCGGAAAACATGCTGTGATCTTTCCCAATCAAAGAGTTTCCTCTGCTTGTTGAGACTTGGTGATAATGGATTCGGGCTTCGTTTTCAGGTCCGACAACGGACTAGTCTCGTTCAATGGAGCGGCTGCGTAGAATGGGCGAGATGGACCTTCGGTTTTGACTCGGGTGCTGTCGCGAAGAGGTTTGGAGGAGGTAAATTGGCAATCGGTGAGAACGTTGCTATGCGCTTTTGATAAAAATAAAAGATGTCAGCTGTCTGGAGTCAATGGACCGAGGATAGTGCAAGAAGGTAGAAGGCAGGTAGAAGGTACAATGCGCTCGAGAACAAGAGAGAAACACGCCTCGTTTCGATCGGTCGTGGTGACAAGTTGTTGGAGTTCAGAAGTCAGGGTTCCGCCACCGGTATTCTTTTGGTTTTAGCGGTGCAGTAATAAGAGAAGAATCATGACCAAAAAAAGGTCCAATACAAGCAAGCACCTCGACCGTGATTCAACCGTCTGGATAGGATGGTCTGCGGTTGGCCTGACTTTAGGGGCGGTCGATGGGGGACTGGACAGCACGTCGACCAATGCGCTGACGTCCTGTGCTGTTACTAGATAAGCGATAAGACAGGCGAGACAGGGGTGATCTCGCTAGCCGATAGCGATGACCCCAACTTTTCCAGAGCCTCGACTGCACTCCAGGTCTCTCTCCTGGTCTCACAGGGGTCAAGCACCGGGAAACCAGACACACTCTTTCAATGGGACAAGCCTGAAGCGGTCAACAATCACCTTTTTAATCCATCCAATGGTTTTTGTTGAGTTTCCGTGTGGATGACGAGTATCTTTACTGCTTCCCTTCACCGTCTATTATCGCCTTTTCCTACCCCTATCTTGCCGGACGGTGAGCTAGCGAAAAGGAGGTGGTATATAGTGACCTCATACCATGGAGCCTTCCTTTCACATGAAGTCAATCGGATTATGGACTCGGGCTACAAATGAAGCATCTTCTTCGACTGTCGAGAGCTCTCTCACAAACGATTCCTCTCATCGTTGATCAAACAGCCAGTCGTTTGACCACAAGCTAGGATCAGCCTCATCAGTGGCAGGTGCCCGGTTGGTTGGTGGTCATGTTCATCACAAGGTCAGTTACATCCGACGAACCTCATTATGGGACGGCTGAAACAGTTGATATTGAGCACGTGCATATCGCGGATCATCTGTGAGGACTCTTATAAGAATGCTACTGTGTTGAAATACACCAGTTGCTCCGTGTATGGGCATCAATTGGACGTTGTCTTGATCACATCCATGAGTGACTGCGAAGGCTCAAACTTCTTGGCTGTGTGAGGTTGACTTAAATATATCTTCTCGGCCGTACAGTGGCAATCCTCGACACGCCATCCATTATAAGATACCGCATGCTCCCGCCGTCGACTACCAATATCAGGAGAGCAGCATTGCCTTCGTCGCAAGCTCTTCGTCCCAGCTGGTATCCATGATCGAATGGGTTTCTTGAACATCAGCCCTGGGACTCGGAGACGGAATCCAACAGCAGTCTGCTTCTGCTAGAGTCCAGAACCTGTAAGGCTATCTGATATTCGCTCACGCGCTTCCCATCAGCTCAACCACAGTCTACTCTGTTCGTTCCTTAGAAAGCATGTCCGACTTCTGTCTCTAGCAATAGGTATTCCATAGTGTCATATCATCTTTTCTTTTGCTCCCACTCTCCTATAACCCCTTTCTTCCCATTCATGTTCGTCGAATTGTTGGCTTTGACCTCCAGCTCTTCATATGTTCTCCATAACCTCATCAACATCATCGATCACTCTATCCTCAGGCACACAGAGCATGTTGATGATCAAAATACTTACCATCAATCCCAGCCGGCGTAACCCCTGGACTCTATAACCCGCGATTGGGTCTGGTAGCTCAAGCAAACCCGCACCACAACCATCGCCATGTAACCGCCCGTTATCGGCTTGTGGGTTTGTCTCAAAAATCCCCCTCGGAGCAGGTTGGTTGCCGTAGTAAATCGTAACACAGAAGACTGGACGAATTGAATGCCCGGTCTACAGACCGACCGAGCGGGGCCAAGGGGGCTGAAGAAAAGGAAGGACCTAGAGGTAAAGAGTGGACCCTTCATCTGCGAATAGAGGCCATCTGGGGTCTTTCCATTGCTCTCTGCGTGCTCTTTGCCTTCAGCAGCATCGTCTGCGTTGAACAAGAAGCACCATGGAACAGGCCAAACCTTGTGAGTTTGTCATCTCAAGCGACGAACCACACAAAAGGACAGGGGCAATGGTATGGAAGGAGCGAAGAGAAGACAGAGTATGGGGCAAACATAAGAGGAAGGAACAGAAACACGGAAGGAGCAACCACGAAATGGCAAAGTTCTCATTTCAGAGGAGAGTCTTCACGAACAAATCGGGAAAGGTGCGGGAAGTATGAAATACCCAAGCAGCTTTCACCACGTACATGCAGTTTTAGTCTCGCCAACGACCAACTCAGAAACGAAGGAAACAACAGATTGACATGCTGCCGATGCAGTTGGCGCTGACAATGGCGATGAAACATGAGAGGGACCCAGCAATAAAAGAGACCTGCTAGCACCCAAAAGACCAAGAATGGGTGTAGTCGACAAACAGGCATGCCGTCCATCCCGTCCCTTTCATAGAACCTCAACCTTCATGCTAAACACTCGGCCTTACCACGCCTGTTGCTGGAAATAGCTGACCACCGGCTGAGTACGTCGAATAATAAACCCCAGAAGGTCCGAGATTTGGCACAATCTTTCATAAAGTCCGGTACCTCGAGCCTGGAGACGGAGACGGAACTGCTGAAAATCTTGTAGGCGGCGTCTTCGGGCCTCATCGCCACCAGACCGGGGCGTGTCAATTCCACATCCCACATTGGAATATGATGTGGATTTGTGATCCTATAATACCATCCTGGTTTGTTTGTAATTAGCGAGAGTCTTGGACGTTACCATACCAGTTACAGCATTTATCAACGAGTGTCCCAGCCATTTATTTCCCCGAGTCTAAGAATATCCTTAGTGCGTTTTCGTACGAAGCTAAACGGACAAACCAGGGCTGGAGTGCACACACCTCACGAAAGTTTGTTAGGAAGCCAATTTCATGAGATTGAGCACTGGTTGTGTGGACTCTTCCGTTCCTAAAGTTTGATGTACGGCAGAAATTGAGAGAGACCGCAAGCCCCTCCATACCCCATCACCCAGGACGGCCAGGAAAGTCACGGGACACAAAGCTGACCAAGCCAGTCCAGTTGATGAACACAGGTAGGTACCAATGTGTTGGAGATAACCCCGTCCTCTGAACCACACTCCAGGTGTCAGAGGCGCAGTCTTTTTACCCCCAATTCAACAACTGCAAAGCACACACAGCGTGCATGGACGGACCGACGGGATCGAGTGAAAATCTCCGCTCCCAAGGATCGCGGACGTTAGGTACCAACAAAGTTTCTTCGGTTCACATGGGAGTCTGAGTTTCTAAAAGAGGCGTGTGAACAACACTTAGGACAGCATATCGCATCAGAAGGGAAAAGCGCATCAAATACCTAGGTATACGGGTTTATGCTGAGTTGACTTAAGCTGAGCCGGCTGCCGAATCCCTCGGGCAGTATTGATCGCGAAGCTTAGGTATGGCGAATACTTCCGCCGCCACAAGACTTGAATTTTGGTCAACCTCAACAAGTTCCGTAGAAGTCGAAGCTTTGTGAAAGTTGGCTATTTGTAAGTATATGTTATATCAAGTACCCGGAGATTATACCATGCACGCACTGACACTCATGTTTAGGTAAGGCTTGGGTTGACTGAACAAGTAGGGAGCTCCCACGGGTCACGGGTAGGCAACCCGGAGACGGAGATTGTTCCTACATGGTTAAGGTATTCATGAACTGATGAGATATGTTATACTCATGCGATTCAACGTCATTGCATCACTCGATCTTCATGTCATGAGGCTCTCACGAGTTGTGAGATTCACAAAATGAGACGTGAAACCAGAGCATCTGATATCATTTTATTGCAAACTAGGTCGTATACATACCGTAGAGGTAGGAAGCGCGGGAAAACCCGGCAATTATGTAAAACGAAAGACATGTGACAAGTTGAGCCATCAAAGGCAGAGTATCCAGGGTCTTTCCGAAAGTTCACCCGCAGGTCAAGTGCAAGTTAGCAGGTGAGACGACGGGCACACAGAATGACGGTGTCAACAGGCGTAGAGGTAGTCTGATGGTGACAAATTGTCGCAGCTACACTGAGCGGGCTCGTGAACTTTTCCAACGGCGTGATCAAGCGCTTGTCACATTTGAGCCAAAAATTGACTTAAATTCCTCAGTTCATACCTCGATCCATCATCTATGGACTCGTCATCAAAAGCATTTCGACGAACTCAAACCACATAACGCGGAGAGTGTGGGAAGAAGGGGGAACGCACTACAGTCTCTGCGTGTGTTTGCGATATCCTTCACGCAGAGACACGACCTCGAGACATCCCCGAAGATATTGTGACTGGTTCTCTCTTCTCTTTTTTTTTCTTTTTCCTTCTTCCGAGATGAGGCCGTCACTCGAAATTCGACAGTCAAAAGTCGACATCCGCATTCTTGATAATAGGGACACTCACGGTGGCTCAGATGCAGAGAGAAACGCTTGACAGGAGCTATAACAGTCGCTTCATAATTGTCTACGTATGACTTCCGAACGGACACTTTCAAGACCGAAGTGCCATTCTGAATCTCCCGGGTTCTGCGGTGTTTGAATGTGTCATTTTTGTACTGCGGTCCGTAGTCACTCGACAGTCGACAGTTTGGAAGGCTATCCTCGCCGATGGATGACACCACGCGGTAAAAGCGTCTTAGTGAACCGGAGTTCGGTCAAACAAACCGGTGAAGGGCTTGTGATCATCAAGGCTTATCACACTTGATCTTCTTGTGGAGTGGATTTTGGAAGACATGCCAGTGAAATGTCAATGGTACTGTACAATATCTCTACGTAAATCATGTACTGTCTGT